GTAAATTACAATGGATAATCTCTTAGATTTAGCAACCCCAAATCAAATGCAGTGGAATAGATTCCTATCCCAGCGAAAAGAATTTTTTGCATCTATGCAAACGTTTCTTGATTTTAGTTAGTCCTGGATTTTCTATATAAGAATGGTGATGATGATATTTAACNTATGCAAACGTTTCTTGATTTTAGTTAGTCCTGGATTTTCTATATAAGAATGGTGACGATGATATTTAACATACTTGTGCACCNACGTTTCTTGATTTTAGTTAGTCCTGGATTTTCTATATAAGAATGGTGATGATGATATTTAACGTACAAGATGTACATTATTGGACCTCATTAAGGGTCATTGGCAAGGCTTGAACCATTGCCGTATTGCTTGACCAGGTAATGAATATTTAGTTACAAAGTCTTCCCCTAAGAATTTCTAGGAATGTGGTGCACACGTGCGTTCATATCATGTGAACTATATTGAAATGTAATTATAATCTTTAATTTTTTTTTGAACATATCATCTCGTCTCGGATTCTGCTCATCCCGCTAATTTTGCTTTTCATTTATATTTATATTATTTATGTTTATGTGTGGTCTTGAGTCTTGTCTAACAAGTCTATTCGTGCTATCAGGTCCCCTATTCAACAACTAAAATTCTATAAATGCAAATATACTTCTACTAAAATAAATATACTTATATATAGCATAAAAATGTACATGAGCTTATAATGAAAATCAGACAAAAAGGGGAGAAAGCTATTGATCAGTAGAACACAAGGAGTTCAGCCCACGATACATGGTGACGTATAGAGTGTGAACAATGATCAAAGGGAAGAAAAAGAGAGAGAGGTCAAGAATGATGTTAAGACTAATTCATTTAGTGATACAACCTTAACACAGATACACAATGTTGGCTCTTATATATTAGGGTAACAAAATAATGTAAAATACTTAAACTACTCATAATATAAATATTATAACATCTCCTTTTAAATTTATGATGTGATAGTATCAAACATCAAAAGTTTACCAAGAAAGAAACGGAAGGGTGCGATGGTGTGAGATTTCGTAAAGAAATCTGTCAACTGTATAGTAGAAAGAAGAAAAAGGAGAGATATTGTGCCCAGCCGAAGATGGTGGCGCACAAAGTGACAATCAATCTCAAAATGTTTTGTGCGGTCATGAAACACCGAGTTATAGGCAATCTGAATGGCACTGGTGTTATCACAATACATAGGAGTAGGATCAGACAATGAAATGCCAAGATTAGCTAGTAGCCAACGCAACCAAACGATCTCTGCTGTTGTGGAGGTCATAACATGATATTCAGCTTCAGAAGAGGATCGAGTCACAATAGTTTATTTTTTACTTTTCCATGAAATAAGAGAATCATCAAAAAAGAGACAGAAACCAATAATAGACTTGCGATCCATAGAGTCACCAGCCCAGTTTGCATCAGAGTAAGCACGAAGTTCCAGAGATGATGAGGAAGAAAATAGTAAACTCTGATGCAACATATCCCGCAGATATCAAAAAATTCAAAGAACAACAGACCAGTGAAGTGTAGTAAGAGCAGCAACAAATCGACTAACCACATGCACCGCATAAGCAAAATCTGGACGAGTAACAGTAAGATACACCAAACTCCCAACAGTAGTACGATATAAAATAGGATTAGGCAGAAAAGAACTATCAGAGGAAGTATAACGAACGTTGAGCTCCAAGGATGTGTCAACCGTTTGAGTATTCGATAAACAAACTCGCTGAATAACATTCGAGGCATATTTTGACTAAGAAAAAAGATAACCCTTAGGAGAAGAAGAAACCTCAATCCCTAAGAAATATCGAAATGGATCAAAATCTTTCATCTCAAAATAATCATGTAACTGAGTTTTCAATAGCTGAATTTCAGCATTGTCATCATCTGTAATAATCATGTCATCCACATAAAGTAATAGAATAATGAAACTAGAAGAAGTGGATCGAAGGAATAGAGCAGAATCATGATCACTAGCACAGAAGCCTAAGTCACATATAACTAAAGAAAATTTTGTAAACTATGTCTTCAGAGCTTGTTTAAAATCATATAAAGTCTTGTGAAGTTTGCACACATGACCAGGACTACAAGACAACCCAGGAGAAGGAGTTATATAGACCTCTTCAAATAAATCATCATGAAGAAAAGTGTTTTTCACATCCATCTGAGAGAAGCTCCACTGACGAATAGCTGCCACAGTAATTACGGTACGAATCGTGGTCATCTTAGCCACTAGAGCAAAGGTCTCATCGTAGTCAAGCTCATACTCTTGAGCAAATTCCTTGGCCACTAATCTAGCCTTGTACCTTTCCACATAACCATCAGATTAGGTTTTGATTTTAAAAACTCACTTACAACCAATGGGACATTTACCAAGAGGTAAAGACACCAACTCCCAAGCTCGAGTCTTATGTAACTCAGAAAGCTCCTCATCTATAGCCGGTTGCCAAAAAGGATCATGTATGGCCTCCTTATAGGAGGTTGGTTCAAACAGAGAATGTATAGAAGTCGAGAAAGAACAAAAATCAGAAGAGTAACAAGAGTTAGACCAATCAAACCTGTCACGACACTTTCGAATGCGTTGAGGGTAGCGAGGAGTGTGATGCACGGTGTTAGAATTTGATTAGGAGCCACGAGGTTTAGATAAAGGCACAATATCTGTGGAAGAGACAGTGGGAGTCCTACAAACATATGTATGCACAATCGGGGGCGGGTAACAGACACATCAGGCAAAGAGGAAGAAGAAGAGGGGGAAGAACAGCCATAGTCATATCACCAACATATGAGTTAGGGGAAACATTAGAGGGAAAGTGATCAAGATAGATAAGATCAAATTTATGTAGAGATTAAGAACTAGATAGAATAGGGAAAAAGGGAATATGTTCCATGCCGAGAAACATAGAGTTTTTGTGTGCGAGGATCATAACACCGAAATTCTTTTTGTCCCTCATTGTATCCTAGAAAAACATATAAGGCTGAGCGAGTCGAGAGTTTGATACGATTAACACTAGGTAGCAGAACAAAATATGTACATCCAAACACACGTAAGGAGAAATAGTCAAGTGTCTTATCACATAATTTTCAAAAAGTGAGACACCAGAATTAAGGATTGTAGGAATACAATTAATCAGGTGAACTACTGTAAGGACTGATTCTCCCCAAAAAGAGCTAGAGACATTGGATGACAACAATAGAGAACGAATTGTCTCAATAATATGACGGTGTTTCAGTTCAGCCACTCCATTCTGAGCAGCTGTGTCGGTACAAGAAGACTGATAAATAGTACCATCAGATTTCAACAAATCACAAAATGATCTAAAAGAATATTTTATACCTTGATCACAACAGAAGTATTTGATAATAGAAGGATATTGAGTATGTACCATAGCACGAAAAATAGTGAAAATGAAAAAGAACTCAGACTTACGTGTCAGCAGATACACCCAACAATATTTGGTGAAGCAGCTACTGCTGTATGACTAGGTTTGTCCATGGGCCGGGCCGAACTTGGTTAGTGTAGGCCCAAGCTCGTACTCGGGCGAGTGGCGGGTCGAGCTCGGGTAAGGGTAAGCTACTTGCAGCCTAGACCAGCCCGTCACCTATTGGGCGGGCCTGAATGGGCAGGCTCTGTAAGCCTGTTTGGGCGAGCTTTTGTTGGACCTGTTGAGCGGGCTTTGTTAGCCCTGTTGGAAGCGAACTATTTTAAGTTGTTTAGCAAATTTAAAAAGTTAAGTTGTAATAAATACTTTAATGTAATATTGAACATATTCGTAGCATTGATAATCGATACAAATAAAATGGCTTCTAGTATTACCAATAAACATAACTAAAGAGGATTTATTAAAACTAAAACATAAAAGAGAAGAAAATAAAAAGTAAGGGTTTGATAATATTATCCAAATTATATTGAAATAAATCTTATATTAAATAAGACTCAAGTGCAGTTATACAATCTCATTTGAAAATTCAGAAACGTGTTATCAATTAATGAAAATAGATAGAAATAAATAATAGTANTGCAGTTATACAATCTCATTTGAAAATTCAGAAACGTGTTATCAATTAATGAAAATAGATAGAAATAAATAATAGTAAATTTAATTATTTTAACAATTCATTTTTATCTTTTAAAAGAAAGAATATGAAAGGCTTGACTATGCATAATATTAATGAAGTTTTATCAATATAAATTTCATATTAATAATGTTAGTATTGTGAGAGTCAAGTTGTCCAATTATAAGTTTAATATCAATTTAGTCTTATTAATATGAGTTCTAAATTAAATAAGGCTAGTGTTGTCTTTATATATTGTTTTAGGGTTAAAGTAGTCAATCAAAATTTTTTCTAAATAGTGTACTTCTATTAGTAGTATAGATATGTATATTATATATATGATATGTGGGCTTCGGGTATGTGGACGGGTTATTGGGCCGGGCTTTCGGTCGGGTAGTGGGTTTAGGGGTAAATCCAAGTCCTTTCTTAAATGATATTGGGCTCGGGTGGGCCAACTATCGGGCCTATTTTTTTCGGGCCGAATAACGGAACCCGTAGGTAATCCGGCCCATGGACACCCCTATGTATGACAATCTTTGGGCTTAAATGGCTGATGCAAGACCCCCTTGGCATTCTTGTTCACCAATTTAGGACACTCATCTAAAACAGCTCGACTCCGATATTTATTTTGTGAATAAGAAGTCCCCCTAGGTGGTAAAACCAGTACAGTTTGATTAGGCAATGAAAGAAAACCTTTTCCAGAAAGAGTCTTAAGATGAGACTTCTTCAGTCAGAAACTCATTCACTACTGCATCAACTGTGGAAAGTGGGAGACGATGAAGAATAGAACCACGAAGTCCCTCAAAGTCATCTCTAAGGGCCATCAAAAACTGAACCAACTACTGCTCCTTCCTAAAAGTACGATATACCATATGAGTACTCATTTTAGCATAAGAGAGAGAGAGATCAAGAATGATGTTAAGACTAATCCATTCAATAATACAACCTTAACACAGATACACAATGTAGGCCCTTATATATTAGGACAACAAAATAATGTAAAATACCTAAGCTACCCATAATATAAATACTCTAACATAAAGGAGACACCAAATGGTGACAACTTACATGACAAGTACTTGTAATACATGGACACAAGAGAATGGAAGTGCTGATATTCCATTCTTTTGATGTCCAACCAATTTCTACTAGTAGCATCTTTGCTAAGAATTAGAACCACCAAAATTAAACGAAAAAATTACACTTCACAATTACAGCATGCATTGCTATCTGCTACTGCTAGTTGGTGTTGCCATCTATATACCAGATGATTTTCCTAATCTCTGTCGCAAAATCTTCACTCCCATGTACCTGCATAAGTTCATATAACAAGGAAACATTTTTACACTAATATGCATGGTCTTTCTCTTTTCTGCTAAAACATAGAGATTTGATTGTTAAATAATAGAATACGAAGACCTTGATTATCAGAAGAACTTTCTGACAGTAAATCCGAGAATGCACTATGACATTACCTGCCCATCATCATTACAGTGCCTTGTGGATTGGTGCCAGGTGATTCTCTAAATGTTGAACCATCAATGACTCGGAGCCTGTGGACGCCATGCACCTTGTAGTTGGGGCTTACTACCTTGCCCACATGGCAACCACCATGGTAGTGCCAAATTGTAACTACAGTGTCCCTGCACCACTGTTCCAGAGACTGTGTGTCATTAGTATGTTTAGGTATGAGGTTAACATTAGCCTGGACACTCATGTTAAGCAAATTCTCCAGAGTTTTTTTGTCACATTGTGTGTAGTTGGTGAAGTGTCTTGAGCTCACAATCTTCTCTACAACGCGAATACCATCAACACAGCGCTGCAGATCATATGGATGACTGAAGTAGTTAAAGGTGACAGAGGGATTGTCATCAACATTGGTGTTGAGCAGGCTGAGCTGGCCAGTTGAAAGGGGATAAGCAATCTTTTCTATGATGAAACCTCCCCTGAATGCTTCATGTGGAAGGTGGCGCTTGCTTCTGCGGTATGCTATGATGGCTTCTTGTGTTCTTCGCTTTGGAGGAATAGTGGAGAGCTGCCCAATCTAATCATTGCACAAAATGCATTTGATAAATACTTTGCACCACTAGGTTAGGAGACTAATAATCAGATGTATTAAAGGACAACTTCTGACAGGGCAAATTCAACAGGCTTTACAAAATAATTGACTACACCATCAATGGTCTATCTATGAAGAAACTACCAGAAAATCATGTAAACTTGCATCAGAAGCGGTCTTGCAAAATAAAGTGAATAAACGATCATGAATTGTTACTAACCTCAGCTGAAACTAATCCATGATTGCATCGAATGCTATCCAAAGACTGCCCAAATCCACTGCTAGCCTCAATATACACACCCTTCTTGGTAATGCCTACAGCTTGTATTAGTGATTGCTTGACAGGTTTTTTAGTTGGAACAAAGACCGTGTTCAAAGGGTTATCAGACATGCCTTTCCCAACAAACTTATTGTCAAACACCACTGAAATGTTCAATTTTTTAAGGTCAGCCTTCGGTCCAATACCACTAAGTAGTAGCAGTTGAGGGCTCCCAATTGCTCCGCAGGACACTATGATTTCACTTCTCCATCTCTTTGAAAGAATTGCGTGGTGTTGGTTCCCATTTTCATCTTTGAAGATGACTCCCACTGCTTTAGGTTTCTTCCCTGTTTTAGATGTCAACAACTCATCGACACCATGATGAATATTTTCTACTAAAAGAAATCTCAATCTTACTAGTTGATTATTATAACTGTTAAATGTTTTGTCTATGCCGTTAACATACCTGTTGTATCAAATACAATCTTTTGAACCGTTGCATGAATTATAACATTAAGCTTTTCAGGGTTTGCAGAGGCAAGTAGTTCAGCAGCAGTGTGACGGCGGCCAAACCTATCAAAAATGGTTCCTCCAATCTTGGTTCCGTAGATATGATCATAGGTGAATCCATTGAAAGGCGATACCCCAACTTCCAATAGACTATCCCTGAATGCACTCTGCCATGGCGCAAGATCTGGCCGGTGAACAATTTGTTTCTCAATCCACGGATATGACTCATTCACCAGTTTGGAATCCCAACCTGCTTTACTAACATAACTGCAAGCCAAGGAATTTTAGCATCAACACAAATTCAATTAGAATCAATGATAGGTATCATACTACCAGAGAAATGTTGGTATATTGAGGGACAGCAAATGGATGCTCTGGTTCTAGTTGCATGCCTATCCTGTAGATCAGAATCTCTTATAATGTTACACATCAAGGATTTTAATATTGTCCATGGTCTCATACAACTAACACACTGCTCGACCAACCTGCTGAATATGCAACCATATATGTTGTGGTGTGATTAAATTTGCTTGTCACATACTGTCTATAACTATGAACCCTTAATGCTATATATTTCCTTAATTTAGCATCCAACAAGGCTTTTCCTCAATTTTATGTATTTCAGTTGTGATATTGATTGTTTTGTTATGCTAAATTTAGTGTTAGAGCTCTTGGGAAGACCTTAAGCTTAAGTGCACTGTGTAACACAAAATTCTCTAATCAGCTGTTGCCTAGGGTCTTCATGAGTCTTGCTCTGAACCACTTGTGACATTTGGAGACTTGAAAAACCTAAGAAACCTAGAAGCATGTCTTTTGCTAGTCTAAATAAGAACCACTTGTGACACTTAAAGAGAGTTGAAATTCCTCAACTACACCCACCTCAGTCATGATCTGTCAGTCTTGCTCATCCAAATTGAGCCAAAGCTACTACAGATATGCATTTCAATGAGACTAGTTTTGCATACAGACAATTTCCTAAAAATAGAAAGCAGAAGTTTTTGGCAAAATGACAGATGAGGATGAATCCTTTTATTTAATGAAAAGGAGGAACAACGAGGAAATGTTGAGTGAGTTGCAAAAAGCAAGTTGTTGGGTTCAATGCCAATGGTCAATGTGTGGTGAGGGTGTGGTGTATGTGGGGTCTAATGGTAGTTTTCTTTCACTGTATGATTGCCGTAAATGTCTCATTTGTCTTTAGATTTATATGTGCATTCAATAGTGGACTTTTTTCCATGGAAGAGATAAGACAGACAAACATGGAAATTCAACAGAGGGAAATGAAATCAAGTGAAGGTGGAGGACCACAGCAAAGCATTAATTAAAACCAACACAATAAACAGGATGGAGAGGAAACTAATAAATGTTCTGTTGTTTAGTAAAATGGGAAATCATGGATGTAATGTGTTCATCTTCCTCACTTCTAATTCTCATAATGAAGCCCACCTAACATCAGAACCATGGATGTTCATGACTTTATGATGTCAATCACTGATGACTTTTGATTTGGATGACAGATTAGGCCCTAGTGAGTCTTATTTGACTAAGGAAAATGTTATGCTTACCAAATTTTTTTATAAAATATTTCATCTCAAATAATATGACCTAATCTCTGTCATTGAATATTAATGAGACCCACTTATCTAATGGTGAAAGATTTACATATATACAAGCACTAGTGTTTTACAGGACTTAGAAAATGACTTCCAATGTCATTCACAGCTATGAATACATTAAATCTTTGGATAAACTCTACGGTACACAAAACTAATTTTTCGGTATCATACTAAAAGATGAATTTAAATCGTAAGTCTTAGCTTAAGTTGTTTGTAGTAATTAGCCATGCAATGAGTAACTTTCAGTTGTGGGTCTAACCCTATCTTTAAGCAATTCTGTGATTTTAATGGCACACGAATACTGGTATGTGTGATAATGAACTTACTGAATGAACATTGTAAACCACTAGAATACCCTCTTTTTGTTCTTCTCTTTCTTTTTTCTGTTACTCTTTTCTACTGTATAAGTGTCACGGTACTGTTATGCCCATGTGAGTGTCTTAATTGCACAATCCTAGGGTTTCCCCATTGGATGCCGGTTCTTGGAAGAACCAATACTATTAAACCGTTCTTTATTTGGTGTCATGTCATTTAGGTCCTAATAAAGACTTCAAATACTATACTACCATGTCATTTAGACTTCAAAATTTGATCAGTGTAGCGTTATAGTTAATGATAGTATATAATTAAGAATTAGAGAATTTTAGTTTAAACTTATCGAATTTTATTACTTCCGATCCTTAAACTCGTCAAATTAACGATCGATACAAATCTAGTTGAACAAGACACCAATCCACTAAGTACGGTTTAGACACGATAGGAACCCGTCACAACCCATTACCTACCCTCCAACGGCACAAGTATAAGAAGAAATTCATATAGATTCAAGTCCAGAAAAACATGGAGAAAGAGAATTTAGAAGTCACAAAGTTAGACAGGCGCTTGTACCTTGTGCTTGCTCTAGTGTAGAAGCCAGCATTGATGCAGGTACCACCACCCAAAACCCTAGCCCTTGAATTAAAGACACCATCGGTGGAAATGAAAGTTTGTGAAGCTGACTTTGGTGAGGTGTCCGCAAGAGAGATGTGAAAGTTTTGCATGAAGGACACATTTACGTTGGCAAAAGGAGCTCCTCCTCTTTCCAGTAACAACACACTGTAGTTTTGAGAGAGTGTGGTAGCTAGTGGACACCCTGCGGTCCCACCTCCTACAATGATATAGTCGTAGGACTTTTCTGGACCGTTTGATGAAGTTGATGATGATGATGATGAGAATGAGCTTGCTCTTCTGATGAATGGGTATCTGTATTCCCACAAGTTCTCCTTGCCTGCACAATTACCAGCGAATGATTATATGATAATTGATCACATTGCCTGTACATCATACAATACCAATAATTCTACTTACCATAAAGAAAATCATGTATAAGAAAAAAAACCTGTAATTAGGATAAACAACTAGACATGATCTAAGAACCTGAGATCGATATCATATTAGTGATACCTTACTGACAGACTTTAGTTTAATCTTCGGATAGTAATGAGTAAATTTGTCTACCCATTAAATAATCGATCGACAAGAACTTGGTATATCATATAGTAAATCTGTGGTTGATTGAAATGTAAATCGTTCCTACTCTTACCATTTCCCTTTAATTTTCTTGATCCCGATGGATATTCTGTCACCTTTTAATGGTGGTTGGAGGAATAGAGAATCAAGAAAAAATGAAGAAGAAAAATGCAGCTAAGGTAGAGAAATTGGAAACAAGGACTCGTCTTAATCATAATAACCCAAAAGAAGTCCAAATCAATTTCTTGTTCACCTTAAAACATGAAAGAAAAGGAAAGAGAAAAGAATCCTCCTCTCAGGTTCTACACCATCAAAATTCAAAAGCATGTTTGTAAAATGTAATGGGCACAACTTTTCTAATTACCATAAACATTTATTTATGTATCTAGAGAGAGAGAGAGAGTGAGATGACTACAAGAAAAGAAACCCAAATGTAAAGAGTGAAAGGGGAGGGAGAGGGAGCAGAAACCTTGAGAAGAAGTGAGAGAGTTGAGCCATAGAAGTAATGACAGAAAAAGCTTCAGTGCTGCACCAACCAAGGCCATTGCTGGGGCAGAGAAAAGACCTCAGAACAGACTCTCAAGTGGAAGCAGTTCTGTTCAACCTCTCCTTGAGGTGGCTACCCCTGGTTGGCCTTGTTCTTTGTGGTATATAACATTATATATATAAGTAATGCTATATATAAGTACACACTCACTGACCATAACAATGAGTTTTCACACACACAAAAAATAATAATAATAATAATAATAATAATGAATAATACCAACAATGATGATGAGATAACCACTATGGATTCATCTCTCTCAAAACAAAATTTAATGTTACAGAAACTCCAACTTTTTTTTTTATATTTTTTTTACAGAAACTCCAACTGGGATTGCATTAAATGGTGAAATGAATGCCACGGTTGGGATACAATCAATGCATGGCCGTTGGATTACTTTTATCATCTCATCACATCCCTCTAGTACGTGGCCAGCTCACACAAACCATACCCTATCTATCTTACAATTACAAACAATGGGTCTGGTTTTTTGCTTAGCTTGGCAATTCCAGTGGATTACTACTCAATCTTGGTGAGAACGGCCTTTAAATCCACAGAAGGGGATAAACCAAGCGGCTTGTCGGCATTTTCGTCCATTTCATCAAAAACACAGGAAGAAGAACTTGATTCAATTTTTTTTCCTTTGTTGTGTACAATGGAGTTACATACCGTATCACATTGTTCAAATACGAGTTTTATAAATGAACTCTTAAACACTTTTCTCTTGTAAAGTATTTTTTAAAGGTGAAGGTGAAATATGAGTTGAAAAATTGCTAATTCTTTGCATGGGCTACCTGAAGCATTATGAATAGGTTACCCAGATTAAATATTGATTATGATTGTCAAATCAGTTTTGTCATGGTCATTGTCCTTGTCACTTAAAAGAAGCTTCCCTTTCATTAGGCCGCCTATGAATTTCCCAGCTTGAAGAAGTCCTTTTGTGGGATCCTTTAAATGATGTCTGGATAGCGAAAAATATTATTCTTCATTAATACTCTAATCTTAATGTGGATGATTCGTATTTAATTAGATCGGAGAATGAATTAATCAAAGTATACATAAACTAACTTATACATCCCTGACTGTTAAACCAATAAAAAAAGAGATAGCTAAAAATGATAGGGTGGATTTAACACAACTTCATAGTGTCATGTGGTGTGCACACACTATAAAATTATCATATCAGACACAAATTTATCTTAGGAATTAATGTACAATTCCCGACCACCAGACAGTGTTAAGTGAGGTGTTAAACCGACCCAAAAATTTCTAACATATTGCTCATTCGGTGCAACAAATAGCTTTGGGAATAATGATTCAGTTTGAACTATTGAAACTTGAAAAATGTTATTTGGACCTAATTTGAGGATTTTATTTAGAGACCTAATGATGTACAACCATTGGATTGGTTGTGGACTTCATCTAACGTTAGAACTCACAATTAATCCAATGATCACGTTGAAACCATATTATTAGGTCCCTAAATTAGATTCTCAAAAGTTCCTGTAGCATTGCTCTTGAAACTTTTACTAAAAAAAATAAAAAAACCTAAGGGATGTTGCGCCAAATTAAGCTTAAACTAACAAACTCCCATGCCATGCATGAAATCTCTTTCCAATCCCACCTTAATTTGGCTCACTCTCTATCCCCACCCCTACCTGTGCAATAAAATATTTTACAAAAGTATTTTTCTCTACATTTGAAATAAATATTGATACTTATAAATAACAATTGAAAGTAAAATAAGAGCAATATTAAAAGAAAGATAGAGCTTTTAGAAATAGTTGGTTTAACATAGAGTTTAATGTGGAGAATACCCGCGCAAGAGATAAAGTAAGATTTAATTAAATTAATGTAAGCTTTAACACGACCGTAATGACACGGGTTGTGTGTTAGTTGGGGAAAAATTTTAAATTTGTGCCCCCATTTATTTTTTAAAAAAAAAACTTACTGCATTTTAGTTTATACTAAATTTTAGAATTGAGTATCATCAATCATTAGTCAGATTGCTTTTTAGTTTTCAAATGGCTTTTCAAGTCAACTTTTCAAGGCCCACCCAACCCCCGCAAAATAAATAAATAAAAGCATCCTCATTGATAAATGATCATTAGCGCCTCTAGTCATGCGTTGCCATCACGTGAGACTAAATAGACGCAAATTAAAAATTTTAAAAATTAAATAGACATAAAATTAAAAATTACGTAATTGACGTATGATCAAAATTATCACGATTTTTGGACGGGCGTTTGAGATTGGACTACGTAAATATAAATTATGAACCTTAGGACTAAATAAACACAACTAAAAGTTTGGGGATCAAATAGATACTAAACGCATACTTTAGAGATTAAAAGTGTAATTTCTCCACACAAAAAAAAGGTAATCTGAGGAAGTCTCAGTACTACAAAACCAAAACCTTACGTCGATTGTTGCCATAAGCATCTTGGAATATCGTTTGAACACCATGTCTTTTTTAGTTTTTTTGATCTGGTTTTAAAGATCATGACGAATATACCACGTCCTAAACATATTATCCTACTATTTCCAACCTAGCTCTACCTATAACTGGTGCAAATCAATGTACAATATGACCACAGCCACAACTAACATTCCGGAAACTGGATCTACATTGAATACGTTGAGAGCTCTAACTCAAAACTACCAATATTAACACCACACAAACATGTGCACATGAGACTTACAAAGCTTAGCAACCCAGGCTCCAGCTGGAAAGACTCATAAAATTTGTGGTAAATTAATTATGAACAACCACCCCCCAACACAAGTACTGTAACGGCAGGTACGTACCATTTTTGTTTTTTGTTTTTTTTTGCTTCAACGGTTAAGAATATTTAAGTCATTTACGCTAAAACTACAATATTCATCAGAAATAAATTTCTCATCCTCGTAACATGACCTCAATAAATTATCATCAAAATTCGACTTCTAAGACCTGTAANCATCCACGTAACATGACCTCAATAAATTATCATCAAAATTCGACTTCTAAGACCTGTAAATGACCAAAATACGTACCATTTTAGTTGAGGACCATTGCTTTTGAAATTACTGGACTTGCTTCCCCCTCACTTATGCCTATTTGTCATTGGCATGGATTGTCAGTGCAGTACAAATGTCGTGCCATAATGTCACACTTATTCTACACCACCAAATTGACCCCTGCACGGATGGGACCATACTAAAGTTATTCAATTCACCTATCTTCGACATTAATAGTTCGAATCATATAAATATACTTTTTGCTCATTAGATAATATTTCTTACATTTACTCTTTTCAAAACCACAATGACAGGAGTCTAAAGTATTAAATTACCTTGTACTTGCACCGATGACTATGTTTTGAATTAATCACTCAAATACATTTCCATATTTGATATAACAGAGAGTAAAATTTTCCACCGTCATAAAAATTATGATGGGAGTTGGTGATTTACAAATTAATTTTATACACCATCGGTCAAGTGATCAGTAACTAATACAGTAATTAAGTAGAGAGAAAGTAACTCAAAAAAGATAAAGATGTAGAGTGGTTTAATAAANCATCGGTCAAGTGATCAGTAACTAATACAGTAATTAAGTAGAGAGAAAGTAACTCAAAAAAGATAAAGATGTAGAGTGGTTTAATAAACGTAACATACGTCCACTATGATGGGCTATGGTCGCCTGAATATTTTATTATTTTGAGGAGTGTAAAGAGTGCAGAAACATACAAGCAATAAGAGATATGAGAATACTAGCAAATGTGCTCGATTGTGTGTGATGCCTCCCAATTTTTGGCGGGACTCACAATTTATAGTCGTCTCATAATAGATTGAGGCGACTTATCGATAATTAAAAGGGCTAATTTGGTGGAAGTGGCATCATCTTCACAACAGATGAGGCTGTTGCGAGGCTTTCCTCAAGATGAGATCAAAGATGACGTGACGATTGACTCTTTCTAAGGCAGTGCGGATGAGGTTCTTAGAATGACCCTGTCTTTCTTTGTAATGTAGCTCTTCTTCGAACTTTGATGGGCTTGACTGAGCGTAGACCTCTTTTAAGCTAAACTCATTGAATATCTTTAAGTTGAGCTCTTTCGGACTAAGCTTGTAACATAAGTTGGGCATTTGGCCTAGCCTATAAAGAGTCATCATATTGATGAAACATATGGTATTGACATTCTTAATACCCTGCAAGCATATTTATGTGTACGTGGCGCATTAGAGTTTTTGAGCTCATTAATATTATACCTCATTAATGCTATATCTTAATGAACAATGTAACTTAAACTTAATTTATTGAGTTAATTTATTGATCTAATTACTCATAGTCATTGAATTATTAGTGGGTCTTAATTTTTTTTTTT